AAAAAAAAAAAAAAAAAAAGAACATGGTGAGTGAACAACTTTTGGCCTGGCAAAGACCCTCCAGAAAATTTGATCCCCTATTTTGGTCCCGTTTATTGTAGTACCCAATCAAACTGTAGAGTCTATAGACGGAAAAAAATTACTTAGCTAGAAAATCATATTTTTCTTTTGCCTACACAGTAACACAGAAAGAGTACCTTTTAGAATCAGCAGCAAACCTGGAATAAGCAAATATTTCACGTAGTAGAAGATAACTGTTGTGCTAATCAGAGGTAGAGAGAGAGAGAAAGCTATCATTCATAATATCTAGGTTATGATGAATAAATTTAAAAATATTTAACTACTTTTGAAGAGATGCTTTGACCACCAGAAAGCATGTTTAGAAAGAATAGAACAAAGGCACTCTTGCATTTATTTGGCCATTAGTAACAATTTTCAGAGATAATTTTGTTGCAGTATGTTGTGTGCTTCCCCTTTTGAAACCCACTGTATCATCTTATTTAACATTACCAACTGTTTAATTTTACCTCTGCTAAGCTCTCTCACTGTTTTTGTCAAGGAAATGATTGTGCTGTCACGAACGCAAGATTATGATATCACTTTTTGACTTGAAAAATCAAAGCAATCCTTAAAGGCCACCAGCTCTTCACAAGCTATCAGTAACCAAAAGAAGTCTATGAAAGGTTAAGGGTATCTATCTATCTATCTACAAAGAACAAAAACTACCCAATATATGTGACAGATGGGGTGCAAAGCTATGGAGTTACTATTATCCTACTGCTTTAGTACATGGCACATACAGGATCTTCTCTTAACACTTTAAAAACATGAAATATCAGTAGTAGATATCTATGGACTCAACCCCACAGGCTCTTGTGCATAGTTCCATCAACTTCCCATGGATTTATGTGGCACAATGCACAGGAATAAGCGTATGCTCAGGAGTGTTTGCAGGATGTAGCCCATAGTTATCTAAAATTAAAATTATATATTTCAATATGCAAATAGTTTAGAGAAGATACTGTTTGTGTTGTGTTAAGATTTCTAGTCTTAAATATGTACTAAAAAAATATAGTGGTAATGGGAATTCAATAGCTGTGCTCCACATCTGTCTACCAAATCATGGAAATCACTTCAGCAACATACCATATGACAGAGGAAAACTGAAAAGAGCAAATATGCACCGAAGCCTGCAGGTGTGAGAATAATGCGTCTAGCCCCATCTGTCATTATGTGTTATGTGTACAGGGGGAGGATTTTTCATAATACAGCTACATATGTACCTGGATATATGATATTTAAAACAAAACAGATTTTGCCATAGTATAAAACATTGAAGCCATAGATTCAGCATATTTTAGTTCTCAAGCAAACAATCCAAAACCAGTAACAAATAATTTAGAGGAAAACACCATCTCATTTTTACTGTGTCTGTTTTTCCCCACAGTACTGTTGCTTTGAAATGTAGGTTGTTCAAGGCAAATTCTCTGTGAATTCTTGTCATAGTTTCTTTCCGAGTTAATTTCGTGTACATTTTCTGTGCTTTATTTAAAGATTTAGGGTAAACTGGAATAGGCAGTAAATCAGTTTAATAGGCAAGCATTAATACATCACAAAGTGTGCACTTACCATGTATTTTACGTATAAACTTGCCAAGAGTTAATTTAGGCTGAAAGTGGGAAGAAGGTTTCTAACTGTTAAGTGAGGTTCTGGAACAGCTGACCATAGGAATAGTGGGGCCCTACATTCCAATGGTTTTATTATTCTATTAATGGGATTATATGCCTGCAATAACAGGGGAGTGGACTCGATGACTCAGGAGATCCCTCCCTGTCATTTGTTCTTATGGTTTTATGGATTGGCCAGCAGGACACCTCAGGAGACACTGGACCAAAAACTGGGTTTGTCCACCTGAGAAATTAGGGCATTTAACACAAAGAACTAATAAATAATTAAGGGCTGGATCCAATCCCATTGAAGTTAGTGGAAAGACCTCCATTGACTTCAATAGTTATTGGATTAAAGGCACTTCTAGAACTTTATTTTTAACCAGTATGTGATGTTTTTGGTTCCATTTCAGTAAGAATTCACTAATGAATCATAACTACTAATAAATTGTACTGAACCTTCAGTGGCCAGTGACATTGTCCTTTCCTGATACATTTTTTAAATTTAAATTTTGCTCTCGTTATTTAAAAAATATTCAGGTCAGAATTCTAAAATTCTAAATGTTAGAACAGTTCCTGTACTAGTCGTTGACACCTACAAAGTATTTTTCTGTACTGTGTATATTATATTAAGGACCTATTCTGACACACGTTGAATCTAAATTCAGCAGCAAGGCTTCTTCATTTCTGAGACTTTGTGACAAACAGAAATTCCTCAGATATGAAATGTGTGCAGAAGAAAATGCTTATTCAATTAAATATAAAAATTAGTAACACTAGGTAGTGATACCTTTCATTCAATAAAAACCACTGTTTGTGTGGGGGTGTTTACGGTTCTGTCGCTTTGGGAGTTACCAGCTGGGAGGTTGGGACTTCAGTCACTGCAGATAGATCAGAAGCTGGAAGTTAGTGTTGGGGGGTCAGGATGATCTTTTGTGACTACTCTGGCTCCACCTCTTTTCCTTCATGCTCTACCGTTGCTGGCAAAGGCTTTCACAACTTCCTTGTGGCAGAGTGCAGGAATGATTCTATGGTCAGTGTTCTGCTTGTTCTGCAGGAGTCCAGGCACAGTGCCGATCAGCAAGTTTTATCTGTTTTGTCTGTCTTACATTACCAAGCAGAGCAGGGGAAAAGATTTCTGTGAGCCCCATATCTGGGCCAAATTCCTAGGAATTTCTGTAGCCATGTAAATTGTGAAAGGCGTACAGCCCTCTTCTGCATGTGTTATACTCATGAGTACATGAGTATACTCATGTACAAAAATCTTCTGGCTCCTGGTTGTGACATAACCCCAGATTAAACAATTCAGCACTACCACTATAACAGTGATCATAAACTGAATGTTAAAGGAAAATTGCCCTCATGGCCTAAGCGGTTCTCTGGCAGTAGACAAGAAGAAAGGAGGGATGAAGAAAGCATTAGGGGTGTGTGGAGCAGTAACTTATGTAAGGCATAGATCCAAGATTCCAAACTTGTGGTTTATGATATTACCAGAATCCATCAATAGAATTACAGCTCCATAATTCACAGTTACATGTTTATTCTCTATATAATACACAATACTTACTGACTGGACTTGAGGTTTATGATGGCAAACTATTGGCGGGGGACTGAAGAAATGACCAATAGTGAATCTCAGTTTCACAACTGAAGTGCATTACTGCCTGTTGAAGGTCACTTTTTCAATTCAAGGTTAATAGTGTCTGCTCTAAAGTAAAATATCCAGTCTGTATTTAGTTTATTAAACACTAAACAAAATGGATACATAAGAAGTTTCTGTGGGGAGATTTTCAAAGGCACAAAGGGTGCCTAACTTCCTTAGGCTTTTATGAAAATCCCAGGCTGAATGCTTCTATGCACCAGGGGCGATTTAAATAGTAAATGATGGAGGGAACTGTCATATTTGCAGATGCCATTTTCCTGCCTTGAATTTGAAGTCTCAATGTTCTCATTGTTACAAATGACATGGGTACTATAAAAGCCTGACCCAACTCTCATTAATTTAAATGGAACTGGATCAGATCCAAAGTGAACTTTTGAGGCTACATTAGGCTCAAATGCCCCAGCAATTATGTGGGTGAAACTGGACAATCTCTATACTCTCAAATGAACTCTCACAGAAAAATGATAAGACAAAAACATTCTATCACCCACTGGTGAACCCTTTTCACAGAGCGATCACTCCATATCAGATCTCCCAGTCCTTGTGCTCACAGGAAACCTGCACAACAACTTCAAAAGCTAAGCCTGGGAATTTAAATTTATCATGCTGCTAGATACCAAAATTCATGGCATTGACACTTGTTTTATGGCTTGTTCCCACAATCAGTAACCTACTAACCCTCCTTTGTCCTATGATGGCAGAGGTATTAATTGCCCATTTCACTTTAACTGGTCTCCTGCAACATGTAACACCTTATGCTTAACAATCTGTCCCACCTAGTATTTAGCTGTGACACTGATTACTTATTCCAGACCCGAAGAAGAGCTCTGTTCAGCTTCAAAGCTTGTCTCTTCCACCAACGGAAGTAGGTCCATTAAAAGATATTACCTCACTCATTTTGTCTCATAGATAAATTAGTCAACTGTCATTTATGACATGGAAGTGTTAATTGCATACCAGTGTGATGCTCTGCCTTTGGGGATGGCTGTTGGGAAACCATGGTTCCAATGTAGCCTGCTGCAAATGTGGATGTCTTTGCAGGTGCCAGATTAATTTGACCTACTATATTTTGTGCTATCTTTTTAATTTTTTTTAGTTTTTGGTTTATACAATATTAATGCATTTGGTTGTGGGAAGAAGGGGCTGCAATGTTAGCAGAGTATAACTGTAGGACAAATTGTCTAGAGCAGTTATTTCAAAATGGCTGACTTCATGTTTCATTATTATTCCTTAGAAGAATTCAATTTGCAAGGTCATGTTAAGGCTCATTCAGTCAGTGACATATCGTTGAAGGTAACTGGATTCAGATCAGTTCTCATCCGAGGGATTTTCAGAGCAGCAACTGTTCTCTACCTAAGTTTACAAAACAGTATTGTCTAGCCTCAGTGTTGCATACTAAATCCAGGCTTGGCCTGCTGGTGTTTCAGCCTGGAATCAGGTTCCGTGAGTGACCCAACCCTTCTGTTCCCTAATTTAAATTTTTATAGGATGACTCTGTATTGGAATTGTTATGGTAA